ACGTTTAAGTCACCTTAAGCTTTAGAAGAGATTTTGTTTTGTTTTGTTTTGTTTTGGGATTTTTTTTGTACCATTGTTGAGGTAACTGGCATCTAAAACAATCTTGCTAGTATTCGATTCATTTCCTCTCTTTGACAAGAAGAGAGGCATGGGAACATAGAGGACAGAATGCTGGACTCAGACCTGGGGCAGGAAGACCTGCGATCCAATCCCATCTCTGATACTTTTTTTTTTAAACTGTTCGACCATGAGCAAATTACTTAATTCCGATGAGTCTCAGGCAAGTCTCTAAAACTGTAAGTTACAGATAAATTGTAATTTTCTGTAGAGGGAATTCCCATGGCCCACCTCTGTGAATGAACGAGTGTGTAATTGACTAGCTGGGGTTTAGTGTACCTCCTGGAGTGAGGAATGGGGAGAACACACCTAGATAATTTTAAAGGTAAAAAAAGATGAAACGCGTGTGGCTAAGTCATCATAGATCGAGAGTACTAAAGGTCCCCGATATCCTTCCTCTCCTAGGGATTTTCTCACACTGTTCCACGCTGAGTACAGTGTCTCTGCTAGGAAGGTCGTGGATGTTTTTCTTTGGGTCTGCTCCTCTCCCAACTCTTCACTAATTGGGCTAGTTCTGTCTTGAATCCACAGTCTCTTCTTTGCTGCCAGAGTTCATTTTCGCTTGAAGCTGCTTCCGACTCCCAGCTCTCTGCGTCTGTCTGTAGACAGCGCGCTCTGGGGTTTTTTGTGTTGCGTGTTTGTTTTTTTTTAAGGTGCCTAGTGGCACTGCTTATCCTTGGCCAAACTTATCTATCTGTTCTTTAATTCCTTCAAAGAGAACTTCTTCAAAGCTCATAACAGGGATAACAGGCACAGACACATTTTTATACTTAGACACATTTACTCTTCCTCTTTTCTGTCATATGCCTCTACTTTGTGTGATTACATCAACCAGGCTGGGGGAGGGACAGTGGAAACCAATTCCCTCCCACTACACTTAAATCCCGTGCTCTTTCTACTATAGAGTTCCAAGAAGAATCGTTTAGGAGGATTAATTGACAGAGGAAGAGATTAAATAAACTGAATATACAGCTTGTACTTAAGTGAGAGAGGATTATATAGTCATTTCATACAGAGAGTCGTAATAGTGCTTACGATGGCCTCTACTGCCTGAAGGCCTGATGTTACATTTCCATCCAGGGTTCTCCGGTAACTTGGGGGGGGGGGGTTGGAGGGGGGCGAGAGGCTCTCATTTCTGCCAATGGCTCAAACTGCTCCCAATTGTGTTCCTCTCAGTTTTAGAGATCTAAGCATCCCAGTTCCATTTGATCAGCCAAATCCGTGTTACAAAGGAATATTTACTTCAAAGGTAAATTATTATATTACAATGATCAGAATGTGAAAAATATCAACTGGACCTGAGCCCTTGCAAGTCCGTGTGAGTTGTAAATTTATTTCAAGTCACTGATCAATAAAAGGGATAGCAAGAACAAATAAACGTTTTTCCCCAATACCTCAGGACATGCTCTCCTGCTGTACCATTTCAGCCTCTGGGGAGGGAAGGAAGATTAGGTTCACATATTAGCTTTTTACATTAGCTACATAGCACTAGTCACACCAAATTCCAAGGCCAAATCTCCCCTTGGCCTATGTCTCAGCTTCCTGGATTCTCAGGGCATCCCTGATAAGCTAGTTACAACATCTGGCCTGGAACCCTGACTTCCAAGGTCCCCATGGTTCAAACTCTTGGGTTCCTATGCCTAGAACTGAAAAGGACAAACAAAATAAGATTAGAACTCCAAGCCCATTTCTCAGGATCACAAAGAAGGGGGGGTGGACCTTGCCCTGCTTACACAAGGATGACACATTTGTGAAGTGTTCCATATTTTTGCTAATGTGACAGAAAAAGAAAATGACAAATGTTAGAGGGGATGTGGAAAAATTGGGAAATTAATGCACAGTTTGTGGAGTTGTGAACTGCTCCAACCATTCTGAAGAATCATTTGGAACTATGCCCAAAGGGCTACAAAATTGTGTATACCCTTTGACCCAGCAATACCACGACTAGGTCTGTATCCCAAAGAAATTTTTTTTAAAAAAAGGAAAAGGCCCTATATGTGCAAAAATATTTGTAGCAGCTCTTTTTGTGATGGCAAAGCACTGGAAATTGAGGGAACGCCTATCAGTTGGGGAATGGCTGAACAAAATGTGGTATATGAGTGTAATGGAATATTACTGTGCTGTAAGAAGTGATGAACAGGATGCTTTCAGAAACACCTGGGAAGATTTATATGAATTGATGCAAAGTGAAGTGAGCAGAAACAAGAGAACAGTGTACATAGTAACAGCAATAGTGTACAATGATCATCCATGAATGACTTAGCTATTTTAATAGCTAAATAATACAACAATCCATGACACAGTTCTGAAGGACTTATGATGAAAAATGCTGTTCTCCAACCAGAGAAAGAACTGATGGGGTCTGAATACTGATCAAAGCATATTTTTAAAATTTTCTTTATTTTTCTTGGGGCTTTTTCTTGGTCTGTTTTTGTTTTTTTTTTTTTGCAACATGACTAATATGGAAATATGTTTTGCATGACTGCACATGCATAATCTATAGCAGATTGCTTGCTTTCTCAATGTGATGGGAGGGGGGAGAGGAGGGAGAGAACTTGGAAATTAAATAACTTTAAAATGAATGCTAAAAATATTTTTACATGTAATTGAGAAAAACAAATTTTTTTAAAAGATAAAAACAAAACAAAACTATATGATGTTTCTTCTGAGGGTAAATGAGACCTTTATCGCTGGATGGAAAAGATGACTGTGTTGCTCTTTAGGTTTAAAGATGCAGCCAATCGGAAGTAGATAGCCAATGGAAAAAAAGCCACTCTCCCCCACGTGGAAGGCCAATGCAAAATGATTTATCTCAGAAACAGATCCCTGGTGTTGCCTACATGGGTGCCTGTATCTTAGGTGATTTGGGCTTTCACCAAAGCCCTCTTCCACAAGTTAAAACAAAAGAGGGAACAGCCATTTCCTGGAAACTCTTGTAATGGGGATTATAAACTCATAGGGCAAAAGTAAGACAGGGTAATTTAAGCAAAAGGTTTTAATAATAATTATAGCTAACATTTATATAGTGCCTGCTTTGTGCCAGGTTTACGCTTATTACCTTATTTGACCTTCACAATAATTCTGGGTGGTAAGTGTTGTTCCTTATTTTACCAGAAATATAAAATAATAATAAATATATTATTTATTAATTAATTATACCATATGTTATTATACTTACATATTTTATTTATATATTATATATAAGTATATAATATACATTATATAATAAAAATATAAAATAAAATACTTATTTTACAGATGAGGAAACTGAGGCAAACAGGGTTAAGTGACTTGCCCAGGATCACACAGTTAGTATCTGAGGTTGTATTTTAACTCAATTTTTGACCCCAGATCCTGCACTCTATCCACTGTACCATCTAGCTATCTGTGGACAGGGTCTAATGTCTGCAACAGTTAGGACTGTCTTTTGTTGTTGTTGTTGTTGAGTCATTTTTTCAGTCATGTCCAACTCTTTGTGACCCCATTTGGGGTTTTCTTGGCAAAGATACCAGAGTAGTTTCCCATTTCCTTCTCTAGCTCATTTTACCAATGAGGAAACTGAGGCAAACGGGGTTAAGTGACTTGCCCAGGGTCACACAGCTGTCTGTGTGTCTGAGGCCAGATCTGAACTCAGGATGATGAGTCTTCCTGACCCCAGGCCTGGCATTCTTCCACTTTGCCACCTAGGCTAAATGCTATGATTTTAGTCTATATGTAATTAGCATATTAGGGTCTTCTTTATAGTTTTATTTTGAAGGACATTTATTTTTGTTTGAGGAAGATGACATGCTTTTATTATAATGATCAGATAATGACAAATATTAACAGAGGCTAAGACCTTGCAAACCTATGAGAGTTACAAATATATTTTAAGTAACTGATCAATAAATATTTATTGAGTACTTATTAAGTACAAGGTAAGGTTGCAGTAGATGCTGGATCATGGTGGGAAGGGAAGGAAGATGTAGATACATAGAAGTCTAAGACATAAACCCCTGCCCTCAGTGGGCCTCCTATCTAGGTGGGAATGTACCTGCATATATACTCAAGTCACCAGGCATTTATTAAGCACCTACTAAGTGCTGGGTACTGTGCTAAGCTCAAACATTCAAACAGCTCTCTGGTTTACTGTTCCTCATATACAACCCTCATCTCCAGACTCAGTACACTTTCCCAGGCTGTCCCCTATGCCTGGAACTCTCTTCTTCCTCATCTTCATCTTTCTGATTTTCAGGTCTCAGCTGAAGTTTTACCTTTTGCCAATTCTTCTTAATCCCATCCCTCCTTAATCTTAGTGCCTTTTCTCTGTACCTCCAAATTATCCAAATGTGCTTGTAAATAGTTATTTGCATCTTATCTCCTTCATTAGACTGTGAACCCTTTGAGATGAGAAACTGTTTTCCACCTTCTTTGTATGTCCAGCCCTTAGCACAGTGCCTGGAATATAGTAGGTGCTTAATAGATGCTAGTTGACTGCCACCATCAATGTAGGATTGCCTCTAATGATGCAAACATTGATTCCTTTATGCCTGTCCCTCTTATATGACTCTGATCTATGTCTTCCCATAAAATTTCCACCAGTCCATCTAGCATGTTGGGGCTTTCCTTGGTTCCCTGGATACCATGAGAGTACCAGAGGAGCATGAAGGCTGTCAGAACTCTCAAGTCTTTAAAAGCTGTGAGTTTTTACAGTTGTTATGGTAGAAATTGTTCTCCTGGTTCTGCTCCCTTCCTTGGAAAATTGAGAATGGACTGTATTTGGAGATGGAGGGGCTTTTCTGCTAAATGGGGCAAACGAAACATGTAGACTTTGCTAGGTTTGAACTAGGTGCCTAACTCTATTTTCCCTACTTTCTCGCTACAGCTCCGTGAGCCTATGAGGAATGAACTACACTCTGGATGATGCCCCTTCCCAAAACCACCATGAATATACCTTTCCACTGGTGGCACGGACCGCCACCGTCACCCAGGTTCCCCCAGCCAAGACGATAACCTTCTTCAAGAAAGGGGACCCCCGCTTTGGGGGAGTTCGGATGGTTGTCAACCAGCGTGTGTTCAAGAGCTTCAGTGCACTCATGGATGAGCTCTCTCACCACATTCCTCTATCATTTGGTGTCCGCACCATCACCACGCCCCAGGGAGTGCACTGTGTTAGCTCCTTGGAGCAGCTGGAAGATGGAGGCTGCTACGTTTGTTCTGATAGGAACCCTTCCAGGGCCATTGGTGGCTCATACAGGCGGCCAACAGAATCCTCATCAAGGAGCTATCCCACCCAGAGGGTCAGCAACTCAGAAAGCTGGCAGGAGACTCCTTCCTGGCAGGGCCCTAAAGCCCCAAAGAAGTTAACTCTGGTAAAGAATGGAGATATTGGATTTCGGCGCTCCTTGATTCTGAGTCCAAACACCCAGAATCTAAAGGCCTTCCTCAATGATGCATCTGAGGTTTTGCGCTTTCCTGTAAATCACCTCTACAATCCTGATGGGAGCAAGGTATGTGGCCACAGGGCCAGGAGGCTATTTGTTATAGACACATATGTAGTGAGCCTTGGTAGTTACAGAACTTCCTCAGTGTGTCCTATTCCTTGGACTGTCACAGCCCATAAAGCTGATTAGTTAGAAAGGGGAATCTTCCTAGGAGACAAAAGCCTCAGGGGAGGCAAAGGAGGTTTGCAAAGTGGTGAAAAGAGATTTGTTAGTTGATAGTAGCAAAAGCTATGACTTTCACTGGGGTGCTGTCTAGAGAACACTGACTCTCCCTCCCTAACACCCTCTGAATCTCCAGTGGACATGGAATCTTTCCCAGATGGAATTGGGTTTCCTTCATTGCTGGTCTCATAACTGTAGTACTCAAGAAGGTCCATGATCTCACAAGCCCTTGGATTCTTAGTCTTTATGGCTTAGATGGTCTTTATGAGTTACTATGACCAAGATAATTAATGACTAGACAGCCTCATTGTCTAGCCACTAGCCTCTCCACATTTTGAAAGTCTGGGCCTCAGTTAACAAGTACATACTCTGTTTCTAGAACTGTGCTTGGACTTTCCTAGATTGAGCTTTTCTCTGACACAGACTCCCTCATTGGAATGACATCTAAGAAATCAGGGTCACCCCCACACCATGATGAGGAACCTGAGTAAGACTTTAGCCGAGGCACAACTACAAAAAAAAAGGTACATATTGGTATTTCCCATCTCCTCCTTCTGACCCAGAATTCTTGCACTATCAGGACAAAATGTTTAAAAGGGAACTGATCCTTAAGGGTAGAGGGGAGTTATTGGTCATTGCATCCCTGAGAAAAGGTTAGCAGAGTGGAAAGAGGGAATACAACCCTCATAGACCCATATTGATCCAGGTCGGGCTCGTTTGGATAAATGAAAGTGTGAATAATCTAAGACTCAGAAGTATTCAGGGGACATCCTGCTGAATAAGCAGATACACAGGCCCTTCTCCTGCCTACAATTTCAAGGTGAAAATGGCCCTGATGGAGGGAGGGGTGGAGGGCTTGCTTTGCTGAACAGATTCCATGAGGCTAGCAATGCAGAGTAGACTCTAATGACAGTCGTGGAACCAAAGGATATTAGGATTCGAAGGAATTTTAAAGATCATCTACTCCAGCAATTCTTGACTTGGAATCTGAATTTTTAAAAAAATATATTTTGATAACTGTTTTTCAATATAATTAGTTTCCTTTATAATCCTATATATTCTAGTGTAAGCAATTGAAAATATGATTCTGACAAAAGGTTCATAGACTTTACCCGACTGCCAAAAGGGCCCATGACTCCAAAAACATGAGGAATCCCTGAACCAGTCCAAAAACCTAGTTTTACATATGAGGAAACAGAGATAAAGTGAGCTGCTGACACCACACAGCTAATCAGTAGTAGAATTACAGTGGAAAGAGCACTACATTTGGAGGGCCTGAGTTTGAATCCTGGCTCTGAGTTTAGTTGCTGTCTATAATATCTGTGATCTTCAGTGTCTTCCTCTGGACAATAAGAAGGTTGGACTCAATGATCTCCAATAAAGTCCCTTCCAACTCTAAATTAGTGATCTTAGAAAGTCTAACATCCTATGTCTGGTCCAATATTTAGTCTTCAGAACCTTGGCTTGGCAATATTGGTCACTGGTAAATATTTGTTTACCATAAGGAAGGACAAAAGGAATTCTGCACATTCATATGCAGGAAGTCAGCTGGAGGGTTAGAAAGGCAACTGGTCACGTCCATATCCTGGGAGCCTGGAGAGGTCATGTTTTGACTTCTCTGGTCAAAAGAGAGCTCTTTTTCTGGTCTAGCAGGTAGGAACAAGAGCACGTAACTGACACAAACCTGCTGGCCATTGATAGACAGGGGGACATACAGGGACCCCCAAGCCAGGTAGTTCTCCAAATATAGGAATCTGCTCACTGAAAATGAGCCCTAGGATACCAGGAAGTATTCAGGATAGGATGGGAGGAGGGATTTCAAGTTGCTGGGCAGGAATATCAGGCTAGGTATATCAGCAGAAGTTGATGAGCATAAATTCTGAGCCTTAAGAAAGGTAATTAGAGAGAGGATGGGGACCAACTTCCTTGTGTCTTCCCCAAAGGAAAGACAAGAGGATGTGGGCTCAACACATGCCAAAATGAAAATAAGTCAATTTCAAAGCCTTGTCATGCTAATTTTGAGATGGTGGAAGACCCCCAAATGGAGGCTGTGGGATCTCTTGTTCAGCTTGGATTTTTAAAATAACATCAACACCTTTCAGTTTTGAAGAGTAGAAGCATGGTCCTAGATACAAGACAGTGCTTCAAAGAGCCTCCCAATTTTAATTTGACAAATTTATTAAGCATCTTGTATCTGCAAGGCATTGTACTAGGCTCTGGGGACAAAAAGGCAAAAATGAAAGTCTTTGCCCTCATGGAGCTTACATTCTGCTGGAGCAAGAGATAAAACTCATACACAGAGAAGTGCGTGTCAGATATTTTGAGGAAGAAGAGAATGCTATCCAGTGGGGAAATCAAAGAAGGCCTTGTGGAGCTGGTAGTACTTGTGTGGAACCTTGAAGCAAGCTAGGAATTCTTAATGGCAAAGGCGAGGAAGTTTAAGAGTTGAGCGTGGGTAATAAATGACCTACTAACCTTATTTCCAGGCTGCGTATTTATAGCCAGTGACCAAAATAATGGTTCATTGGCCTCAGCTTTAGAAGTAGCAAAATGGTCTCTTTCATAACAACTGGGAAGTGATTTTCCTCTAAGCTAGGAACAAGGGGAAATATCTCAAGAAAGGTATTCCTACCCACACCCAGAGAGGAACTTGATTGGCTCGGATGCCAGGCACACATAAGTACCATGACAGCTAATGGAGTCTGCATTCTCCTCAGGTGGAGTCTCTACAGAGTCTGCTACAAGGCCCTTCTATTGTGGTGTGTGCTGGACAAGAGCCCTTCAGACCTATGGTGGTGGAAAACCCCAGGAGACGCTTGCCAGAGAAGTTGCCAGGACTGACTTCAAAGAAGAGGAATGGTTGGTTGATGCTCCACCCCTCCCCAGCCCCCAATATATACATAGTTATGCTGTGTGACCTTGGGCAAACATCCTTAACTCTATAGGCCTCAGTTTTCTCATCTGTAAAATGAAGGGATTAGATTGGATCACCTTGATGACATCTTTCAGTCCTAGATCTGTGACTCTAGGATCTCAAAGTTCCCTTGTAGATCTACTATTTTTGTTTTAACTTTTGTTCACTGTAAGAGATAGGCACTGGACCCGTGATTTCATTGGTATTTGTAATTCCTGGGTGAGGAAAGCATGATTCCTCAAAATTGTTACTCTAGAAGTATTCTCATGACATCTTTGTCTTTGTATCCAAAATACACTCAGGAAGTGATGCTAGAGAACATTCAATCCAATTTCCAGATAAAAGCAGTTTGCAGAGGTGACATGATGCCCAAGGGCACATATAGTTATTTAACATTCAAGTTGGAACTAGAACTGGGTATCCTGACCTGCAGGCTTTCTACTCTACAACACTGTAATGGTCAGTTTTATTGCATATTTCTGTGTTCAGGCAAAGGATTTTAGAAATTCCCAGACATGCTTAGGCTACTGTTTTGCTTTGAGCCCTGTTGTTCATTTGAATTCCTGTCAAATCCTGTTACAACAAATACCACCATAGGAATCAATCAATAAATCAACAAGCATTTATTAAGTATTTACTAGTTGCCAGGCTCTGTCTTAAGTACTGGGGATACAAAGAAAAAGCAAACACTCTGTCAACTTAATGATTTGCAAAGACAAGCTTGGAAGGAACCCTCTATCTTAAGCCATTAGATACAATAGATACCACTCAAAGTGAGTTCAACCAAAGCATTTGTGCAGCCCTTTTGGGTTTCTTGTAGCATGTATAATACTGAATAGCTCTTCAGTCCCCACCCCACCCCTATATCCCTATTTTTGATGCTTCATCACTCTCTCTGTTTATCTTTTCCATTTGCTTTTACTAAATGCCAGCCAACTGGGAGCTGAGAGCCAAGAAGAGTGTCATCCATTCAAGGTCTGAATCAAGCAACAGGTCGAGGCAGCTTTCCCTGACATCGGAGAAGTCCTACCTCAATGGCTCTAGGGCCTCTATAAGGAGTGGCAGTCCTGTCCCTACAACCAATACCAATGCTCCAGAGAAGTCTGCTGGTCTGATCCCCTTTGGGGCCAATGATGACATAGAGAAGAAGGTTCACATGAACAAAGATGGCAGCCTGTCAGTGGAGATGAAAGTGCGATTCCGACTACTCGGTGAGGAAATGCTCCAATGGTCCACCCATGTTAGGAAAGATGCCCATCTCAGGGCAGCCAGTGGGGATGACCTAGGACTCAGTGGCGTGGCCTTATCCCATCCTTCTAGGGAGAATGATGTACAGAGATCTTCAGAGGTAGATGCTCTCCTTTTTCCAGATGAGACCGATTCCCAAGGACTGGAGGAAGCCTGTTATCAAGGGTGTCAGCAGCCACAACCCAAATATGAGATCTGGAGAAATCCTGTGTATGTTTCCCAGGGACATGAAGCAGCTCCTGGGAGAAGCTCCTGGATAACCCAGTCCCCTTGCTCAGGGGCTTCATTGTTCCGACAGGCCATCCACCAAACAAAGACATCTGGGAACAGTCTCTGCACCACTTCTGGTGGAGAAGCCTTGGAATGCAGTGCACCAGGATCTTCTTGTTGTTCTGGGACCCTGGAGGGTGGGATACAGTTCAGTGACAAGCACCAGGCCTCAGGTCAAAGGAACTTAACTGAAGCTGCTTCAAGTGATGATGAAGGGAAGCAAGAATATGCCCTCATTGGGAAATCCAGTAAGTCCTATGGTAGAGGGCCTGACCCACGTAGGAAGGGCTCCCAGACAACTCAAAGAATCAAGACAGATAGGAAGTGGCCACCAGATGAGGAGGAGGAAAATGAAGCATGCTCACTGGACTGCCTGGAGGATGAGGCTCAGGATGCAGCAGAGGATGTTTCTGCCTCTTCTGTATGCTCTAGGTGTAGGGAGAAGAAAATGCAAGTGGCCGAGGGCTGTGGCAGTCCTAGACAGGAGGGAGCTTTCTGCTCCTATGTGAGAGAGGCTCAGAAAAAAGCCACCGTGGCCCATGATGCATCATCCCATGGCACAGCTTATGGCCCTAGCAGGCAAGTGACACCACAGAAGAGCAATGCTCAAGAAGGCTCTGCTTCTTCCCTTGTTGGCCCATCCTCCATGAAGAATAAAGTTCTGGAAGCTGAAGAGGATGAACACAGCAGGGTGATACAGGATGCCAATTCTGGGTCAACGTGGAAGATGCCCAGGGCAATGGACAATGGTGAGTTCAGTGACCTTGAGTGGAGTTGTATTCCGCACTCTTCTTGCCCATCTGCATGCAGTGGGAGCAAAGGATGGGGAAGCCCGAGGAGTGATGGGTCCCTACACAATGTCTCTCACTCTTCCAGCATTTACAAGGGAAGCAAAAGTAGTCAGCCACAACCGAAGGACAATGGGGACAGAGGGACTAGCTACATGTTGGAGGGCTCACCAGAGAGGTCCCTGCCAAGGAGCATGCTCAGTTCCCCCCTCCTAGAAAAGCCTAGGGCAGAAAGTCAAACCCCTGTTTCTTCCAAAAGTTCATCAGAAGCTAAGCAGCAAACTGCAAGGGACCCTGGGTCTTCCTCATCTTCTGCTCATTATTTAGAATGTTTATCAAGGCTCAGTGATGCCTCCATTGCTCGGGACTCTGATCCAGATCAGAAGAAATTAGAGAATATTTCTAATTCCAGCCATTCACATCCTAACTTTTTGGAGGAGACTAGGGGAGCTACAAAAGTCAGTATTAGCTCTCTGGAGCTAAGATCTTCAAATACATCAGACTCTTCTGACTTCCGAGGTGTTGTTGAGTCTAGGGATGAGAAGACCCTGGGGGACCATCCTAGAGTTTCTTTGGAGTTGAAGATTAAAAAACCTCAGATGGAGGAACCAAATCCCTGCAGAAGTAACTGTTCCCCCCCATCCAGCAAAACCCAACCTTATAGTGCTTGCAGTGATAAACTGCAGCTCCTACCAGGCTCTTGGGCTGGATCAGTAGCCAGCAGATGCCTCCCCACTCCCCCCAGAGGAATGCCTCACATCAGAAAAAGCACCTCGGGCAGCAGCAGGTGGAGCACCAACTTGGGGAGAGGTGGGAGTTGGGAGGAGAAGGCCAATCTTAATTTGTCTGGCTCTTTCATACCTGGTTCCAGATCAGTGATCACAAGTCAAACAGTCAAAAGAGCCAGGAAAGGTGGCCCCTCCCCAGGTCATGGGAGGAAAATGCCAAGGAAAGTCTCTGGAGAAGGGAAGCCTCAAGATGAAAAGAAGAATCTTGGAAAGCTGGAGGGCAGCACTGGTATGATACCCAGTGACCTGCCCAGTACATCTCCAGAGGAAGTTATTTATGAATGGCTGAGCAAAATTCCAGAAGAATCCATCCTTATGAGCTATGAAATGCAGGATGACTGCCCTGGGGCTGCTGTGGGGGCTCCAGAAGAGGACCCTGGGGTCAAGTGTTCTCCTGAAGTTCCTATAGAGGTGGCCCAGGCCCAAGAACATGCCCCAGATAGAGAAGATTCTGGGGGAGCACCATTGGATGAAAACCCTAGGGTTGATGGTGCCAGCCCAAAGACAGGAGGTAGTCTTACTAAAAAGCAATCTTCTTTGGCAATAGTAGCTGAGGGCAGTCCAGGTGAATGTGCTGACTTAGGAGTGAAAACCAACCTGAGTAAGATGGAGGACCTGCCTAGCACACTGTATAGCTCAGTGCAGATCATGAAAACACTGCTCAGCTCTAGGCAAAGCCCTAAGCTAGGCCGGGTTAATAGTTTGCCAGAAGTGTCACAAACCATGGGAAGGAAGCTGAGCCACTCCGCCCATGTGCTCATCACCTGCCTGGCCAGCCTGCACTTCTTTGATGAAGAACTCATGACAGTCACAAACCAGCTGACCTACATGAACTCACCCAAGTACCAAGAGCTTCTGAGCATCTTCCAAGCCCTGTGGACTGAAGGTAGCCCCAACACAGATGAGCCAAGCTCAAAGGCACTGCCAAGCCCCAAGTTGCAAACCACTGTGACTGATGACTTTACCCCAACATCTTCTTCTGGGGTGGATGTCAGCAGTGGCTCTGGTGGTTCTGGAGAAGGGAGTGTGGCTGGTGTTATGGACTGTGCTCCTTTCCCTGAGAAGATAGAGGATTCTAAGTTGAAGAGGCAGGACAGCCATGACGATATGGATCCCATAATTGCAACGAAAGTAGAGAACAAGAGATCCTTCTCAGATGAGCAGGTGAAAATGGAAGCACAATCAACTGAAAGAGATGAAGAGGGAAGAAGGGCTCATGATGTAACCAGCAAGGATGAAGCCAATGAAAGTGTGAAAGAACAGATGTTGGAAAATAGCATGAGGGTGGCTGATGAAGATGAAATAATAGAAGTAGGGACAGAAGAAGAGAAAATGCTAGGAAAGGAAATGCAAGAGGCAGAAACACAAGATGAAGGAATGGAAGTAGAAAAGATTCCAGAAGAAGAAAAACAAGCAGAGGAGATGAAAGATGAGAAAGTGTTTGTGGAAATAATGCAGGAAGAGGAAGGAATACAAGAAGAGGAAGCATCCAAAGAATGTGACTCTATAGATTCAAGTCCTCCAGTCAACACAGAGGAACCGACAGAGCAAGTTAGTAACCCCATTAAAGAGGATTCAAATTCTGACAGTGTTCGTGATGGCCAAGAACTTGAACCTCATGTGAAAGAGGTAACTGAAGGCATGGCTGTGGCTGGTGAGCAATCTGTGATCAATCCCACTTCAGGGACTGGGGGAAAGAGGGCTTCTATTATCCAGAACACACCACCAGATCCTGATCCACTCTGGGTTCTGAGGTTGTTGAAGAAGATAGAGAAGGAGTTCATGACTCATTACGTCAATGCTATGTCTGAGTTCAAGGTCAGGTGGAACTTACAGAATAATGAAATGTTGGACCAGATGATTATAGAATTAAAGAATGAGGTGAACCAGCGAATACAAAAGAGCATTGAAAAAGAACTTAGGAAAATCCAAAGTAGGGCAGGGAAGAAACTTCCAAAGCCCCCTAAGGAAGCTTTTAAGTGGGAGACTTCACTGCAGACAGAACAGAGGAGGAGACGCCTGAAGGGCATGCACAACCACTCAGCCTTCACAGAGCAAAATAAAATGCCAGGGAAGCGGAATCTCTCCCTGGCCTTCATTGAGGCCATGGCCTCCAGTGGAACCCTGGCTGACGATCTACGGGAGCTAGAAGGTGAGGAAGAGTACTGCCCTTGTGACACTTGCATAAGAAAGAAGATGACTACATTGTCCCTGAAGAGCCCAGCACCAGCCACAGATGCTCCCCTCAGAAAGGCTTTTGACCTACAACAAATTCTCCTTAAGAAGAAGGAAGAAAAGCTGAATGAGAGAGCAGCTGAGCTAGTTACAGAGGAACCAGAGAGCAAAGCGCTTCAGAGAGAACACACAGGTAATGAGGATGTTGATGAAGCCAAACCAGGGATGGCATCTAGCAGCTGTGTGGATGGAGCTGATGCAGGAGAGGAAAACCACAGGTCCATCAAAGATGGAGAGCCAGAACTGAGTGAAGGGGAAGAGCAGAAGACTAATCATGGGGAAACAATGATTAGAGGAGAGGAAGAAGCAGAGCTTGAGAAAAGTGAAGAGGGAGATAAAGAAGGAAAAGCTGAAAGTGACTCAGGAGAAGAGGAAGATGAGAAACGAGATGAGGGACAGAGTGTGGGTGATGGAAGTGAGAAAGAAACTGGGCCTGCATCTGAATATGGGGCAAACTCAGAGGGAGAAGCAACAGGGGATGTGGATAGATGCTCAGAAGCATCAGATGGTGCTGAAGAACTTCAGGCCACTGAGCCATTCAGCCCAGAGGCTGAGGTAGAGAAGCAAACAGAGTCACAGACAGGAGTAGAAAGCCAAGAGGGCCAAGAAGGCAACTGTCAGGAAAGCCCAGGAGAAACCCAGAGTGGTGAAAGGTCTGAAGAGAATGATCCTGACCAAGAGATAGGTGATGGAAGTTTGAGGACCGACCGTCTTCCTGAGGCCCTCACAAGCTCACAACCAAACAAAGAAGCCTTCTCCAGCAACTCATCCCCTGAAAACTGCTCTCAGGCATCACAGAGAGGTTCAGGAAAAGAGGGCTCAAATGGAGACTGTCAAGAATCAGAAAGCCCAGAGACTGAGCCTAGAAGAGAGACTAATTCAGAGAACAAGGCTTTTACCATGTATCCTGAAAATTCACTTTCTGAACAAGATGGAATGTCATCTTGCTCTAGTACCTCAGAAAAGGAGTCTACTGGGAGCCCTGATCTGGAACACAAGTGCAGACTGGCTAAGAACTCTAAGTTTACAGAAGTTATTGATAAGGCAGATGTATTTGATGACGACTGCTTGGATTTCTAGAAGAGGAAGCTGCTAGACTGCTCACAGGTTCAGTGGCTTTGCCTATGAACCTTAGTGAGATTAATTTCCTTTGGTAAAGAAAACTGACACAGGGAAGCACAAAAAATTGCCTCTTGGGCAGGTAATAAATCCAAGAAATTATATTTCCTCTCATTTCTAAATTCTATACCCTGTCATCCCATTTATTGGTTTTGAAGAAGGAGCTTCTTTCATGTAGAACCTTCCAAAATGGACATATCCCAGCTGTGTAGTTCACTTGAACAGAAAGGATGTACACAATTGTAGAGCTCTCTCCTTTCTAAGTGTTGGGGCACCCAAGAGCCAGTAAGCTAACTAGAAAAAAATTTTGTCCCCACCCTCTTCACACCTCACTCTTTTTGATCTTTTGACTACTGGTCTGTATTTTTAGCTTGTGCTCACCATTAGACTTTGAGATGACTTTCATTCAAATACATGTAGGGACTTTGAAAATGTGGATTTCCTTTGAAAAATTTGGTTAAAAAGAAGTTTAAAGTCAATTCATAGTCTAAGAGTCGAATGTGATTTAAAAAATGATTTTTCTGAATATCTTTGCTGCTATCTCAGGTAAAGTGTGGGCTCCCTCAGAATCAGTTGGCAGCAGGGCCTTGCCCTTGGCGCCTTAATGGAGGTGGGATTTCCTGAGCTTTTCTCACCAGTTCCTTGGTGCAGGCACTGCCATTTTGTCTGCCATGGAGACCGATGTTAGTCTAGCTGTGACTATATGCTAAATAAGCTGAGGCTAAATATTTTGATATGAAGAAGAGAGACTCTTGTTATCTCCATCACCATGGTGCACATTCTAGTGTAGCACTTCCCTGATGGACAATGGGGAAAATCAAACTGGATAGCTTCCTGGTCCATAAAAAAGCCTTGCCTGACTCCCTCTATGGGTCTTCACTGGAACAAAGGGAGCCCTAATCCAGGATCAGTTATCATTTATTCCTGACAGCTAAAGGGAAGAGTTTGGGGATACAGCAGGGGGAAAGGAAAGAGATAGACAGCTAGCTATATAACACATCCAAAGCAGGAACTGATATTACGTTTTAATTCGTTTTTTTAACTCAAAGAATATCTATTTCTCTTTATGATCAAGAAAGAATCCTGTTTTAAGTGGCTCAAAGGGAAGTAAACAGTACATCACAACCAAGCTTCATTAAAATGTAGTTCTGTTGTTAAGAGTGTAAGGGGTCCATGTTACAATGTATTATTTATTGTGGAGTTTTGTATTTGTTTATATAAAGCAAATATTCCATGTACTCTGTATTTATAATCAATAACAAATTTGAGGGGAGGAGTGAGAGTATCTTGCTGTATCTAAAGTGGTGCCTGTATTCACCCCTTCTTCTTTAATTATATTTGAAAGCTACATAAGATATTCTTAATAAAATGTTTGTCAGACTTTTCAAAATTCTGGGTTGGTGATTCTTTGGGAGATGTCATATAAATAAATATGCGTAGGACTATAGTCCAACATCTTCATTTTACAGATGAGGAAACTGAGGCCTAAACAGGTTAAATGATTTGCCCAAGGTCCCGCAGGCAATTAAGGTGGGATTTGAACCCAGGTTCTCTAACTCCAGACCTAGCAATCTTTCATGCTGTGTGTATGCATAAACATATATATATATGTATATATATATAATATATATAAATAATATACATATATATATATATGTTATGAGGTCTAGTATCAAGTCATTTCTTTGTCCCTATTTCCTCATCTGTAAAATGAGAGATTGTGTCTAAATCTCCTTCTAGTTAATCTTAATCTTATGATCCTCTCTTTAAACACCATATGACTCTATAAAAGCAGTCTTACAAGGTCCCATGTCCAAACACCAGCAGTGTCCCTGCTTTTCCTGGCTGAAAAAAAAATGTGTGTGTGTGTGTATATATATATATATACACACACACATATATATGTGTATATATATATACATATATGTATACATATATATTTATACACACACACATACACATATATATATATTTTTTTATTTATACACACACACACACACACACACACACACACATATATATATGTATATATGTATATAGTCTTCTGTCTTTGCAAAGAATACTCCTTTGGCTGATCATTGATTTAGAAGTAGAAGGCATTTTAGAGATCATCTAATCCAACCCCTTCATTTTACAGATGAGGAAACTGAGGTCCAGAAAAGCTAAGTGACTTGCTTTCCTGGGTATTTATTTACTTAAGGATTGGTAGAGATTTTCATGCGCTAGGATAGTCTTTTTCCTGAGTTGTTTTCTTTTGATTCAGACCTGTGATTTTACCAGTGGGAGGAACATTGATCAAGGAAACTCTTTTGGCCAAAGCAAATTGGCAACTGTTCCATAATCCATAATCCTAGAAAGTTGCCTAAGGTATTGAGGAGTTCAGTGACTCACACAGGGTCATGCATCCAGTCAGAGGCAAAACTTGAACCCAGGTCCTCCCCACTTTGAGAACAGTTCTGTATCTATTATGGACACTATCTTGGAATAAAATTATCATTTTAGGGGCTTGCAAAATGCTCCAATTATTGGGAATTATGAATGAGTTAGTAGGACTTGGAGGAAGAAATAATCTAGTCCAACCATCTCATTTTGCAGATGAGAAAGCTGAATCTCAGAGAGAAGGTAGTGACTTGCTCTTCTCACCGAAATAATAAATGGTATAGCTTATATTTGAACCTTGGACCTCTGACCCCAAATCCAGGGACCTTTCCACTATATTATACTGCCTGTCTGTTACATAACCTTTCCCCAATTCCTTCACTAACATGGAGAAGACCAAAACTCTCCTCAGGAGTTGTCCAAAATTATTCCCACTAGGCATTGTTAGCTTAGCAGGGAAAATAGGACAGCTGAGCTGTGGGGACGGGAAGGGAACCTCTCATCCATGCTGGAGCTGCCTTTCACCATCACTTTTCAGCCAGGAAAAGCAGGGCCACTGCTGGTGTTTGGACATGGGACCTTGTAAGACTGCTTTTATAGAGTCATATAGTGCTTAAAGAGAGGATCGTAAGATTAAGATTAACTAGAAGGAGATTTAGACACCATCTCTCATTTTACAGATGAGGAAATAGGGACAAAGAAATGACTTGATACTAGACCTCATAACATTCATAACACTAGACGCCATGATTCATCAAGCTACTCACATAGGATGTCAAAGTTTTTCATGCTGACTCACCCACCCCTTTCCTCAACCCTGAAACCAAAGGTCCCCCACATCTTTTCAAAGTTGCTCCAGCTTCCTCTTCCCTCTTCTGGGACTCTGGGTCTGATATTTGTACACCTGACACCTACTAAACTGTCATTTTATTAAGATGAAAAAGTTTAGCACTAGTCTCTTCCCTGGCCTCAAAAGCTTGAATCTGGGGAGATGTTTGCTTTTTGTTCTCAAAAAAGACCAGTGACATCAGGGCTAGGTAAGAATTGGCTGGGAGTGAGGGAGAATTTGAGTCCATGCCTCATAGGGGATCAAGTAAGGAAGCTGAGGACATCTATTCTGGAGAAGAGAAGGCTCAGGGGGACGTGACAGGTGTCTTTATTGAAATATCTGAATGACTATCCTGTGGAAGAGGGGATAGACTCCAGCTTGGTCCCAGAAAACAGAATTAAGAAAACTTTCTAATAATTAGAGTGATCTAAAAGAGGAATGGATTAGCTCGGAAAGTATTGGGGTTCAATCCAGATACTGTCTTTAAACAGTCTCCATGATTCACTTTTTGTTTATGTTGCCAAGGGGATCCTTTTTCAAGTTCAAGAGTTCAACTGGGTGACCACTGTGTCCTGTCTGATGTTCAAATTCTCGGGTTCTGTGTATTAGCAGAGACATAGGACTGGTTGTATAGTCAAAAGACTTGGGCTTAAATTCTGACTTTGGCACTTTACCGACTGTGTGACCCTAGTCTTTGAGTTTCAACTACTTCCTCTATAAGTTAAGTCAACAAATATTTATTAAGCACCTACTATGTGACAGGCAGCTGCTAGGTGGTACCGTGACAGAGTGCCAGGCCTGGAGTGAAGAAGACTTATCTTTTAGAGTTCGAATCTGGCCTCAGACCCTTGCTAGCTGTGCTGTGTGACCCTGGACAAGTCATTTTACCCTGTTGCCTCATCTGTCAAATGATCTGGAGAAGGAAATAGCAAACCACTCCAGTATCTTTGCCAAGAAAATTCCAAATGGGGCCACAAAGAGTCAGAAATGACTGAATGACAAAAATGTAAAAGGCATTGTGTTAAGTGCTAGGGATACGAAAAAAGACAAAAAACAAAACAAATAAACAAAAATTCCCAAATCTACCAGTCCCTTCTCTTAAGGAGTTCACAGTTTAATGGGGGAGACGATATGCAAACAATTATGTAAAAATAAGATGTATACAGGATATAATCATATGTTTGAAGAATTGTTGTGAGAAAGCACTATATAAATGTGAATTATTGTGGTCTGAAGATGAAAGTTCCATTATGGCCAGTAGCCTCCCAGGTCCTGAAACAGATCATCTTTGCTAAAAATTCTTATTGAAAAAAAAAATATCACAAACACACCATTTGGGAAAATGGTCATCTTTAAAAATATATTAAATATCATACAAGAATTCAAACAGCATTGGGCATAGATATTAAGCCAAATAATATTAATGCAGTAGACACCACCCAACGCCAGAGGGTGATCTGATTATCACCCAATCTGCCTGTTTCTCTCTGTCAGGCTCTCAGGGCATCTGGCTGCCAATCACTTCTCTGAGCCTCCTCCCAGTGGGTGGGTTGCAAGACTATTTAAGAGGTGTTTTATGTCTCTTTCAATAAAATTGAATGCCTCAGAGTTCCACCCTACATTGCCATTCCCAATCTTCTCTCTGAGTGGTACCTTACATTAAAATACAGCATGTTAGTAGCGAAGCAATGGCATGCTATCATAAACTGTGATCTTCATTCAATCCCCTCTCCAGCTACCCCGAGTGGAAAAAAATCCAAACTTCTTTTGGGCTGACATCTATTTCTTTCTGTTTCCTCAACTGTAAAGAAAAGAAAAAAAAACAATGGGGTTAATAATAGCACCTACCCTCACAAAGTTGTTATGAGAATCAAATATCTATAAAGTGTTTAGCACATAGTAGGTTCTGAGTAAATGCTTGTTCCCTTCCCCTTCTCTTAGACAATGTCTTCTGTGCACAGGCCTGAGTTGGGGACAGCAAGAATCAGTAGTTTTTTCCCAGTAAACCAAAGTCTGGACCTGTATGATTAATTCATTGTCAACGTAGACACTATCGAAACTTGGGGTGTGGGAGGAAGAAGGCCTTTCCTGGCTGCAGCTGTCAGAGGACACCAGAGTGCTGGCTTAAGGGGCTTATGCATTGTAGCTTTCCAGGAAATGAAACTTGCTAGCTTTCACCTTGTTTCTGCAACCCCTCTAGCTCAAAAATGGGGTACAGACAAAACTTTCCAGAATTTATGTCTGCGTGTTGCAACCTGACTCTCATAAATCTAGAGTCCAGAGTGGCAAAGAGACTGGCATGGCCTGGTGCCATTAAACATCAACCCTTCCCATTCCCTTTACCTTCTCAAAGTCTATCCTCATTGACATGCGCTATCATGTCACCATCACAGCACCATTTAGTCAGCT